CAAAAATTTTCGATCGAATCAATGAATTCAAATCGTTTCTGAACGAAACAATTTGTGAATGGGATGTCCACAACTCTTCGGGAGTAAGTTTCAAAGTTTTGGGGTTATATTTCAAGAGAGATGAAGAGAAAGATCCGAAGGAATGCTTGAACGAGCACGGAAAGTTGGCTTTGATAATTTTGAAACTACTAGCTTTTTGCAATTTTCATCTTTCGATTCAGTACTCCAATACTGATGTGATGTGAGTATGCATAAATTTGTAAATTATATTGATGTATTCAGTACATCAGCATCATTCCAGTGTTGACAGTACAGTACTGTGTTTTGACTCAATCAGCATCAATGTTGACTGTACTTTAAATGTACTGCGGCTAATGCAACGAAAAAAATATTAAGGCAGTTCATGTGCTCAGAAAAACAAGATCGACATGTTCACTGAATGACGACAATAAATTAAGTCGAAAACGTTTGGTGTCATTTCTGGCCTACTGCATACCGCTCAACGTACTCAATATTCCGTTAGCAGGCAACGATTTGCTATGAATTCAAACCTGATTCAATAACTTCTCTCAACGACAGACAGCGACTTCATTACCTATGAACCAAAAATCTCGATTGTTTGCTGATGCAAAAAGTTTGAAGTTTCATTTATGCCCTAGCAAGCAAATCAATTGATGATCTTGATGAAAATTGATGTTCTTCTCAAGATATTCCGAGTGAAAATTAGAAAGTCACTAGTGAATGTCACTTCCCCAACTCACCGACCACTCTCCTAACGTCTCATTTTTTTCAGTGTTTGTCGTCGATTTGGGCACGCCTGATAGTCTGCCAGATTATTCACTGTTGAACTTTATGAACAGTTTCTGTATAGCTACTGAATTTCAGGTGAGCTTCATCAGTAAACATCTTACAAAGTAGTCAACTGTCATTCACTCGAAATCGATCCTTTCTTAAAAATCAAAAGATGAATGCTTGTTTTCATGTTTACGATTCCTCTCGGATGATTTGCTAATTATAAGTAAACCATAAGATTGTTGTAAGAGGGGATATGATTGAGTAAGAAGAGAATGTTCCTCGGCAGATGAACAGTCGATGATTTTGAAATCTTTTATCATAGTTAGGATTTCTTTTATTGGGACAGTGGAATCATTTGATCATTCGGCGAGATCCTTCAGCTTCTAGCTTCCTTTTGTGGCACTGTCATGTGTGAGAGTTAATGTTTTCCATAAACTTCGTCACTTATTATTTACAGCTACGAACGATCGTCGTCTGTGTATGTACGTTACTGGCGTTGACACCGTATCGTAAGGCAACTGCACTTGTTTTCAGTCGATCGCCGACCGGGAGACAGCAACTAAACGGGACCATGCAACGGGCATGAGTTGTGCAAGCAAATCGCTAAATTGTGAACTCTATCCTATCTCAAAACCGTATTCATAATTGTAATGCTCCTAATAGTTTTCATTTTATATTGTATTAATACCGGCGACTCGATGGTCTCCGATAGTATGCTATTACAGTGATGATCCTTTATTTGCACTATCCTTCTTCAGTGTTATTTGTTAACATAGCTGGCGAATCATTATCTTTATTAATATCAGGCCCGTAACCAGAGATTACAAGAGGTAACATTAAGTTCCAGAGATTCCTCTCGATTAGAACTCTTGGTTCCAAACAGGAATTTCATGAGAACAGTTTAAGGTGTTCCAGTAAAAGGTGTTCTCAGTACTGAACGGATAGTTCCGTCCGTCTATCCTATCCCAGATCTGTTATAAGAATATTGCGGTTACGAGCCTGTTTAGTACTATTTATTTTTAATGTTAGTATCATTATCCTCCTCGAGTTCTTCAACAATTTGTTGTTGTTCTTGTTGCTGTTGCTGTTGCTGCTGCTGTACCTGCGGTACACGAGGTAATCGTCTAGGCTTCGGCAACGGCCTAGGCAGCACTAAGCCTTGAAGACCGGAAGTTGACGGTTGAGGATCATCGTTTGAAGTCAATAAATCTTGTTGGGTTCTTGTTGATTGATCAGGCTTTTCAGCGATGTATGATTTCTTGGCTGGTTCGTTTTTTATCGACAGCGATTTTGTCTGAAATTTGAGGTTGACATGATGTGACCGAAAAAGCATTAAGGTTGAGTGTTCTGAAAACGTGGAAACAACTTCCCGATTTTATAACGGAAATCATTGGTTCGAATGGAATGTTTTTGATCAAATTTGCCTAATCGGAATATTTCAACAGAGCTGTGGATTTATGGAATGAAGTTCGTGTTTGCAATTCGAAAGAAACCGAATTCAGTTACTTCGAAA